TGACATGTAGACTGTGCACAGGGCAAGATGTGGTAGTGAGCTGTGGATATGTGCAACTTTCCCTGCTTGCTACACATGGAAATCTGAATGTGAAAGTCCAGGGGTCATAAGCCCCTATGTAATCAGACTCCACCAGCACGTGCACTGAAAAAAGGTTTGTTGAAAAAAGATATTGTCAGAGGGGCCTACTCACATAAACTATTTACGTGCATAAGCCCAAATTCATATTTAAGATTCTCCATATGGTGGGGAAGTTATGCGCAAGCCCGCTGTAGCATCTGGACTGTGTGCACAGCCTACATGCTAGGGCCCAAGTGAACTGGGAAACTGCAAACAAGCTCCACCATGAATTGAACAAAACAGAATAGGGCAACAAGGATATGTCTGTTTCATTTTTGGCATTTTAAATCTGGCATTCGACAATCTGGATAGAGGTTATGAATAAATCGCCAACTCTTTGCCCTCAACTGGATATATGCTTAAGAAACCTACTCACCAGACGCTAGTCCAACTTTTTTACAAGACACGTTTTCTTATTTCGGTGACCTACACGTCAACACTTAACAGAGTAAATGCAAACTACAATGGGGGGGTCACTTGACTATCCCCAAGGCCGGCTAACAGGACGCTTAAGTCTACCTAATCACTACTAAGTAAGTGTTTTTCTTCACTTTTTCTACTCTATATATCCGAGTCACTGCATCTCTCAATTCTAGCGCTAAAAGGGTTCCAAGAATGTCCACTACCAAGAGCAGTTAATAGACTTTTAAAAAAATATTCAGAATAGAAATTCAGAAAGTGGAATAATCCCCCCCCCCGAAATACGTTACGATTAAACCTATTTGGTCTAGACTCATAATTTCCTTGCACGCACGGTAGCAGGAGGCGTGTGCTTAGCATGTACATCCCCAAGGGTTTTCCTGTACACTCCAATCCACCTTATATGGGGAATCTCCCTCTGCAAAGGGACTCTGTCTGCACACTGGGATATCTGTGGTATTAAATGGTAGAGGATATTCAATGTATATTAAATTGTAAACTCTGCTATAGATCAACTACAGTTTCTATGGTCCAATAACTTTTTCAAAGTGGTCAGAGGCAAAGCTCAGGAGCTTCCCTGGTATCAAACCTATTGCTGTGCATCTCATCTTAAAATGAATGTAACCAAAAGAGCTCTGATGGTTAGCAGCTGTTAGTCCTAATCTGCTTGTTCAAAATAATGGCTACAAGTTCAGAATAAGACCAGCTATCTGTTCAAGACTTCTCCCCTAAGTAATATTGAGAAGCATTTGAAAGATTCCCTTTCTCTTAATCAACAGAGTCCCCCCATCAGTATTCATCATTAGCAGGAAAAATTAATTACAGCTACCAAGACCAATGCATCGCCTACGTGTGTTCATTAGATCATGCTTCCAGCCTCTTGTTTGTGCCCATGCACTGCAGACCTAATTTTTTTCCCATACTGAATATAGGAATCCGGCTTAGCTCTACAGAGTTGGGGCCAAACCCAATTTGATGCTGAATGTAGCCTGCAAGCTCCTTTCTTTACGTAGTGTGTAGGGGCCCAGTTCAGATCAGGACCGTGGTACCAGGGGGGATTTAACCCTTCCCCCACCACATGCAACTCTTTCCTGACCTGAAACATACATATACTGATACAAGTAACTTCATATTTGCCCAGTTGGGTAAATCTCAGATCTTTGGGACTGATTCAGGTCAAGAAAACTGCACTGGGTAGGGGAGGTTTCACTCCCCATTTGTAACGGTCCCAATCAGAATCCAGCCTCCTTGCACCTGGTTTTTTTAAAGCAAAAAACAAACGAGAAACAAACAAAAATAAATCTTTCATAGAAGTGCCAGGATCCTATCTGGTTTGGCCTTTAGTCTCGGGCCAAAGTGAAGCTACGTAAGAGACAAAATCCAACCCGTAATAACTCCTGAATTACAGTGAAGGGGTGGAAAAAGAAAATCTAGTGGCAATAAACCAGTAGCTAACATACATGGGTTATTAGTACTGTTTATTTCTGACCAATCATTTCTGCTTTTCGGCTATTAAATACAGGGCAGATAATGGACAAGCCCTTCATCTGCCTTCTCCACCCTGGCTTTTCCATAGAGAGAACACCACTGCTATCTTCTTTTAACATGTTGTAACTGACTTTTCCAGGGGATTTGTTGAACTGACTTTGCAAGAGTGGTTCAGTATCAGGACTTAGACCCTGAAGAACATTTCTGCTAACAGAAGAACAGACTTTCCACATCTCCTCCTCCCCTTGGAGCCCCAAATGATCCCGTGAAATGCTGCTTCAGGGAGGGGGGCAGTGGATCCTCAGGAACAGCACAAGGATGGCGTTCGAGGTCTGCAACAGAAGGGGGGGTGATCATCGAAAACCACACCCTCTCCCATTTGCAGAAATCCTGCATGGGACCCATCTCCAAAACTCAACACATCCTGGATCTCAAAATTTATTTTTTAAGACACGAAGAGCTACAAACTAGACCTATATCAAAGCATTGACAACAGCAATTCAGGACAACCCAATTTAATGGGGTGGAGAGGGGGGGGGGGCTAAGGGGAGGAAGCGTTCAACTTTGGTTGGTTTCAAAAATTACTTAAAAAGCTATATCGATAAGAAATTATTAAGGAATGGGAGCTCAAAGATAATCGTCTTTCCGAAGTACAACAGCCATCCCCCAGTCTCTCAAGTATAAAACAAAGCCACGTAAAATACTACATGGCTCAACAAAAGGTTCACGTGAGATTCTGTTGCACGGGTGGGTAGCAGGAAACAAAAGTTCTGGTTCAAAACAGTGTCTAGCGGAGAGACCAGTCTTATGATTCATAGCTGGGAGTTTCCTGCTTCCAAGGTATTCCCATCTGTACTGCTGCTGGAAGTTCTTAGGCACACACATTTCTTCTGTGCACAGCACTGGTAGAGAATGAAACTGCACAGAGGAACGTGCACTGAAAACTCGTAATTGGCTGCCACTTGCTTGGTTAGGTAGAGAAATATCTTCTGTGATAAGGATCTTTTTGGAATATAAGGAAGCTTCGAATGAAGAGAGATTAAAAATAAACAAAAGGAACAAACAGTTTCTTAAGTAAGGCGCTAACTCCTCCCAAATTCTTTTGGGAACGTTATGAACACTTACAGCTACACCGTTGCTCTTCTGCTATAGAAAAAGTAAGGGGGAAATGTCACCTCCAGCTTTACCTTTCTAATCATTACAATGAGGTTTGAAGGTTTTGTATTAATTTCCATCAGGGCACATCCAGCAAGCAGTCTCTTCTGCTCCTGGGTTGGGCACTAATTCCGGAAATGTGGCAAGTGCCGCTGGTTAAGGCGGGTACCTCTTTCCCCACACAAAGGGTGGGGGGGGGGCATAATACAACAATGAGACTTATGCAGTCTTTGCTAGGGCAGGGGAGGCTGCTCCTCCTAGTTGTGTGGACTGGCGTAATGACCACTGTTAGCCACTGTGGCCCCACAACTGAATCTGTGTGGCCTTGAAGAACTGAAGCAATGCTCCCCACCCTCCAAATCAGAGCCTCTTGGATGTGCGCCGGGCACACAACCTGCCAAGGGCACACAAGAAAAGGAGGACTGCTTTGAAGCAGCACTCGGGGGACTGCGCCCTTGGTTAACTGGGACAGCATTTGCACGCATGCAGTAAAAAAAACTCCACAGTGATAGTGTAAGGCCTAATTTTCCACCCACAGCAGGCGAGGAGGCAAACCTGTCTCAGCTGAGCTGTAGATGACAGGCTGGGGTGTGTTACATGACGTCCTGCTCCGTGCAAAATAATTCCCTGCATATAAAAAAACCGAGCCTGTCGAGAGCAGGGTTCGTAATGGTTCCAGCCTGGAATGCTGCTCCTAACATGCTTGTGTTCTTCATACAGGGAATTGTTTTGTATCGAACAGCATTCCGTCATGTGACACAGCTCCCCTCTTTGAACTGGTACAGTCCAAAGCTAGCGGTACCCATGCCTCTGCAGTTGGTGAAAATGAACACATTCTAATTTCTCTTTGATACTCTGCCTCAACAGATTTTAAGTTCTAATACTCTGTGCCTCTGATCCATGTTATTTCTAACAATTTTTTTTTGCTGTCTCCTTTACCCTATTGCTAATTCTCTAAGTATCAAGTGTAACTGGGGGGAGGGGGGAGTGTCACGGTTTTAGGCCTTCGTAAATGCTCACCCCGCCCCTGAAAAAGCACCTCAGTATGAAAGCTTTACAACAATAATGTTGAGAGATTTAAAATTTTTGGCAAGATGGGACTCTTTTGCAAGAGAAGGTCATTGTAACTTGACGTAAATGTAGCTTGGGCGTTTGCACAAACAGTGAAGTCTCTTCCATTCTAATTCACTACCAGTTTTGGAGCTTAAAATAATGCTAAAATCCCATCCTAAAGTAACTACAGTTTAGTCTGAACCATTAAACTGACCCCCCACTAGAGGCTACTTAAACACGAACACATCATTTCAAGGTCCTCATACAGGGGGCAGGGGGATGGCGACCACCCACTGTGATTGTACTGTGGCAATCTCAAAACCCAGCATCCTTCAGTACAAAAAAATGGCAAAGAAGTCTGAAAACTGAAGGAGGAACTTTTGGTGGGAGTGAAATTCAAGCAGATGCCTCAAGTGTTGGGCCAGACTGACCGATCATGGGAAGAAGACATACCTCTACCTGGCCATCTCCAGCTTGGATGAAGATCAAAAGAAAATTATCCAGGAAGTTCCCTTTCACCTGCAAGTCAACCCCCCCCCCAATAAAATAAAATATCTATCTATAAAAAATAATAGTCAGTGACTACAGAAGAAAATACTGCTCCCATCTGGTCATTATATACGAATACAGCATGCCTACATACAGAGAATGGTGTGGCGCTGTCATTCACAAACAGGAAATACATAGTGCACTATCAGAATAATTTAAATATATTAAGTGTTGTTTTTTTCTGATATCAAGAGAAAGAATAAGGAAGGGGGGGGGCGAAACCCATTCATAACTTATTTACTTCCTGTAACAAACAGTTCATTTTGTTCATGTTATCAGTGCTTAATCCAGGGAAATTAGTGTTCCTCCACAGAACTGCCACCGGTGAGGTAGCCGTTTGTCCCATTCGTTCCACTGGTCCCATTGGTCGTGGCAGAGCTATGGGAGATCTTTGAATGAGGAGGTGAGGTTTCTTCATCTGAGCTCGACTCAATGTCGCTGCGGTCATCTCTTGCCTGCAAAACAGGGAAGAAGAAGGGGAAAGCACACTGGAGGCTGTTGCATGAGAGAAACAAGATGGACCATCCTCCTCGCTTAACCTACATCGCTGATGCTAAGAACCACAAAGTTTTTAGAGTCTTTACGTTCCTCTGTCCTGGACTAAGAACTTTTTCCATGTGTCTGTAAAGTGTGTATGTGGGTGTATGGTGGGTGTTGTAGATAAGAAGGCAGCATTACAGCACCCAAAGGCACAGAAGGCAACTAGCCCTCCCCCCCTTACCTTTCAGTTCCCTGAGGCCAACCCATGTCAATGTTGGAGCTGGATTTGGGGCGGGGGTGGGTGAGTGAGATTAGGTAACAAAGTGCCGTCACAGTCGACCGGGAAGGAGGAAATGGGCTCGTTCCCCTCATCCACAAGTCTTGCTTAATGTTAAAATTAATCTGTCCCCACAACTTTATACCACAACAGGACTGACTGTTCAATAAAAATGTGGCCAGCTATTACATCTGATTTGCCCCCTGATACATCCCCCCCCCCCCGGGTTCCCGATACATTCCATTCCCGATACAAGCTCATTTGCTGGTGGTACCCTTTCCCTCTTCTTTCCATTCCTTATTGGCCTTACCTCTCCTGATATCAATAGCAAGCAATTTTTATCTCAACCACTTCCACATTAAAAACAAACAAAACAAAACCCTCCCTCTTCAGCTTCTGAACCATCTCTCTCCGCCCATGCCGGTACCAGCTCCTCCTAGTCCAAGCCCAAGCCCCTTTCAGAACTCCCCTTATCAGTCCCTGCCATCTCCTTGAAGCCCCCACTCGCACATTCAACTGGTACGGCTTGGCAGAAAAGAGTTAGGTCACCCATTAGCTACTGCAATCTCACACTTCCTCCTCTTTCGTCCCACCTCTGTATCCACAAGGAGGAGAAATGGAACAATAGGAGCCACAGAAGTAGAAGAAGAAGACAAGGAGGAGGAGGAGGAGGGAAGGAGGGAGGGAAGACACAACGATGGTTGCATGCATGTCTTCTGCTTCTCTCCTTTATTTCCATTTCTTTTTCAACTGGGCCAGTAAACAAGGAGGTATTTGGCAATCCCCAAGGCACTAGACTGAGAACCAGCGTGAGGAAGTGTAGTCTAGGATCCAGGTTCAAATCCCGACTTTGTCATGGAAGCTTGCTGGGTGACATTGGCCCAGCCACACAGTCAATTTCCATATGGAGGCAGGCAGGCATGGTTTCCCCGTTGCTGCTGCAGCTGCCAATACAGTGCAGTGGCAATGGGGCTTCCACATGGCAGGTTTCACCGTTTCCTTGCCCCAGTCCCTCAGTAGAGGCCATCCATTCTCCCCCAGGACACTGGGCATTTTTCAGTTTTTTTAAATCATCAGTGGAATCATGTTGTATCATCATAACAGTATAATAATGTATCAGATTTTCTGAATAGAAGGCATTCATTTTTTTAAAAAAGTTGACAGTCCCTTTTGTTGAGGATATACATTTCCCCCCATATATCTCTGCAATGAAAAGGGCTAAAGATTTACTTTAAAAAAAATGAAAGCTTGGAATTCAGAGAACCCGGTACATACATTATTATAATGTTGTATCAAGATAACAACATTCAACTGCAGGTTTTAAAAAGCCCCCTGGTGGATAAGGGAGAAAATGACTGCTTCGGAGACAGAATCAGGGGTAATGACTGCCAGGTGAGTGGGAAAATAGACTCTTTTCTCCGCTCGCATCCGATCCTTTCCTCCCCCCGTTGCATTTCTTCTCCCGCCTCTCCGTGAATCTCTCGTTCCCGTTCTGTGAATCGGAAGCCTCCCCGCTCGCCAAGCCCGCTTTCTCGCTTTGGCGCTCCCCGCGTTGTTTCGTCTCTTCAGGCCGGGGTTCTCCAGCCTGCCTCTGTCACGTTGAGTGAACCGCCTGCAAGTGAATGACTCAAGTCCTGGCTGATCCATTTTGGATTGAGCTGCCTCAAGTGTGTCGTCCCCTTCTCCTGCCCTTTTTTCCCCTCCTGGGTTATTTCTAAACACCATTTTATTTAAGAGAATTCCCCCCCCCCCCCTTGTTCGAATGGACCTCAGGCTCCCCCCTTTCCCAAAAGTTGGAAAAAGAGACTCTCTGAAGCCGGAGCCGAGTGGCTTCCCTCTTCCAGTATTGAACCGTGCAGACAAAATAAAACGTTCTTGTATGCAACTCTTTCCTTTTTGGAATCCTCCCCTTCCTTTATTTTTGGAAATATCTAATAAAATAGGATGATAAAGCAAAAAAAAAAAAAAAAAAAGGGGAGGGGGAAAATAATCTGAACTTTCCTACCCACCCCACCAACATTGCAGCCATCCAGGCTTTACTGTGATCTTTCTCAAAACTTTGCAGGAAAGTAGGTTTCAGAAAGATCGAGGAAAAGCTGAGGAAACTCCAGGATTTGTATGACTGTACCATGATGCTCTGGGGACACGGGGGGGGAGGGGCATACTTCATAACAGCACTGAACTTGTGTGCACATGACCACACTCTCAGCCTAACCCACCTCAAAGGGTTGTTGTCAGGACAAAGCAGAGGAAAGGAGAACAATGTAAGCCACTCTGGGTTCCCAATGGGGATAAAAGTAAAGTATAAATTATGCAAATAAATAAAAAAAATAGACTGAGATCAGCAGACAGTAATTCCAACTGGAAGCTCTCTGGTAGGTGGTAGTAATAGTAAAAAAAGGTGAAGATTCCTGAGGATGTTAATTCTACTAGGAGTAAGGTTTCACTTGAATGCTATCAGGAGAAATCTGCATACACTGAACAGGAAGACTCTTTTGGAATTTGATATGGAAGGGACAGTCTTGAGTGAAGGAGAAGGAGGCACACAATAGGGAAGGGGGATTTTAACCGGTGAGCCTGGACAAACTAAGGCAGCACTGAGAATATCCAGAATATCCCTTAACTGGCATTTGGCACGGTGGCTGGCAACCAGTTCACAAAGGAGAGGTGCTGAATTGAAAAAGGAGGAACTTCAAACAAGGCTGATTGATTAGTCTTGGGGGGCTATACTGAGGGGTGAATGAAATGACAGGTGTGTGAGTTTGAAGTGTGTGATGATGCTTGGCGCTGGACAAATTCTAGCTCTAAAGGGCTTTCAGGATCTAGCTGTATGTCTGTTCCGAGACTGTTTGAGGTTTCATTCATTAATTTAGGCAGTCTATTTATGCTTTCAAATTTCAGAGCAGTATCACTCCCCTTCCCTTTTAAAAAATATCTCATTATACATTGGCATCTGTACAACAAAATGTATGTTCCCTCAAGAGCACTACGATCGGGGAGTCTCCACCTCCTGGAAGTCCCAGGCCCCCGAGATGTTAAGTTTGCCCCTACTAGGGCCAGGGCGATTTCGGTGGCAGCTCCTACCTGGTGGAACGAGCTCCCAGAGGAGATCCGGGCCCTGCGGGACCTTGTGCAGTTCCGCAGGGCCTGCAAGACCGAGCTCTTCCGCCAGGCTTTTGAGTAGGAGCTGCCGCCACCACTATTCCACCACCGTAGTATTGCTCCATCGCCTGCCCCTATTATGGGGGGCAAGCATCGCCTGGCAGAAGCGTGTAGAACAGCGCTGCTGGAGACTGTGCTATTGAGACAGCTGGCCACCGAATTGGGATCATTGTTCCCATCTTGGGTGATTTACACATAAGAAGACATCAGAGCACCTTAAATATTGTATGGGTTTTATTGTGGTTGTTTTAATGCTGTTTTGTTTTATTGTATTTTATCTATTCAACCCGGCTTTGCCGTATGTTAGCCGCCCTGAGCCGTTGGGAGGGCGGGATACAAATATAGAAAGAAAGAAAGAAAGAAAGAAAGAAAGAAAGAAAGAAAGAAAGAAAGAAAGAAAGAAAGAAAGAAAGAAAGAAAGAAAGAAAGAAAAGG